GGGTTTGTAGATACATATTTTTAAAATGTAGGTGTGTGCAAGCAAAAACATCAGTCACTGGAATAAAACATTATAAATCAGAGTAATGGTGTAAGTGAAAGTAGAGGTATAAAATTGCCTTTATAATTTATGTTTTCTGAACACTAGATATTAAGAATATAGGTATAAAGATATTATAATATCATCCTAATCAAGTTTGGAAAGTAAAATCCTAGAATTTTGATACTCTTCTGGTAGAAATTCAGTTTCTGTGTAGACCAGTTTGGCTGAGCATCTCTGGTGCCTCACAGTAGGTCAGTGTGGAGACTGCGCATTTGTGCTCCCGGGTTGGTTAGTAATGCCTGGGAGAGAGACCCTGCCTTGGAAGGGGGAGCTGGGTTTGTCATTTGACCTACTTACAGAAGGTGCTCTGTCAGACTGGATCCTGTTGAGGCAGAAATAGGGAGGCTGTACTGTTGGGTGGACACTGTGAATTTTACTTCATGCTGGAAAAGGCAACTGTTCCTGCTTCTGGAGGAGCACCAGCTAGGACAGGAAAGAATGAACGGCCCCCTCATGAGGAACTCGCTACACACAGGCTGTTTCCTGTGGAAAAAAATTAAGTGTTGAAGAAAGGGTGTATGCCCTCAGGTGTGCCTACTTTCAACTATATTTGTATCAGTTTGATGTGCACAGTTTTAGTTTTCATTCTTATTTCATGCCATGCCTCAAAATGAAAGTTTTAGATGCCATTTTCTTCCTGGGTAAGTTTCATGTCATCATACTCACAGTTGTAACCATAATGAACGTACAATTTTGCGTGCTGGTTTTCTCACTTAACATTATCTTCCAGACCCTTGGCAAGGAAAGTAGAGCTCTTAGAAGAGTGATATGATAATACTGTAGCCATATTTATACCAGTTGGCACAGAAGCTGAGGAGAGCATAAGGTTTAGTTAATGTGATTTCTGCTGGCCTATTTTCATGACCCTCTGAGACCCAAGTACCAACTTGCTGGAGACTCAGTTCGGATAATGCAAGCCCGCTCTGAGAGCTCGGGCATTGGCACCCCACGCCTCAAAAACTGCTGACCCTCCCTCAGCCAATTTGGAAAAGCAGTATCCAGGGACATGACGTGTTTACAAACCTTCAAGAGAGTTACCCAACCCCATTCTGAGCCCTAAGTCTTCTTCCATATGTTCTCCTGAATCAAGTCAGTAATTCCCAAGGGTTGCATCCTATGGCCAAGTCAGAAGTGGCATAAAGCCTAAGCTGATCGCTACAAGTCTTTGTAGCATCTGTGATGCTTTTGTGAAGTATCTCAAAGGATGGTTTAATCTGTAACATTAGGGCGGGCAGTGCTACTTGAAACAGTGAGGGGGTAGTGGAACAGTGTGTGTTCGTGGAAATATTAATTAGTTTAATCATTTTGGAGGGAAGTGTAATAATACAGATCAATAGCCATGTAAATATCCCCACTGTTTTTACTCCTCCTGAAATTTTATTTTACGCACATACATGCACACAGTTTATAACAATATAAACCTGTAAAATAATCTAAATGTCTCACAGTGGAATATCTATTATGATATATTAGTCAGATGGAATGTTTTATAGCTAAAAGTGAAGTTATGAGGATTATGGAAAATATAGGAATATATTTCATTATATGAAATAATGTGAAGAGGTAAAGGGAAAATTGAATCATAAAATTATATATTCACTGTATACATAACTTTGAATGATAGAATGGTGGGTAGGTAGATGTCAATGAAACTGAGAAGAAATCAACCTTTAAGAGGAAGAAAAAGAAGGAGTTGAAGATGACCTAGTCTGAAGCAGTCATGAGATTTATTGACTTTGCTGGTTTGAAGGACCATGGGGAGGAAATAATGGTGAGCTCAGTGCTCAGTCTTTAAATCCAGATTCACTCCTGAGTTCATGTGGAAAGTCTGTGTATTTCCTGGTATCAATTTTCTTTTTCAATTTTAGACTCTTTTTTGGGGTCCTGGACTTTATTGTCTAGAAAATACAGAGCTAGATCCAAACCATAAAAATTAGTTTTTAAGATTCTGACAAGTTACTATGGAGAAATGTTTGGTCAAGAAATAGGACTAGAGTGTAATTTTTTTTATCCTAACATTATTAAGTTGCTTTTATTTTTAATATAAAAAATCTTTAATCTTTAATATGAAAAACTGCCATTCTTGGGACTTCCCTGGTCCAGTGGCTAAGACTCTGAGCTCCCAGTGCAGAGGGCCTAGGTTTGATCCCTGGTCAGGGAGCTAGATCCCACATGCTACAACTAAGACCCAGAGCAGCCAAATAAATACATAAAATTAAAAAAAAAAAGAAAAACTGCCATTCTTGCCCATATGTATCATTTTTTCCTCTTTCTTACCTATGTTTGCAAAATACCAGGATATAGTTATTGCCTGAAAAAAAACTATGATTATATTTTTATATTGAAGAATATGGTTTTGTAATACTGTAGTTTATTTATAATACTGTAGTCTATTAGTAGCATTTTTCTGTTACCTGGTTTCAAACGGTAGTCTAAAAAGTGGGAGAAATATCTCATTGTAGCTAAATTAACATTTTTCATTATTAGATGAGTAATAGGTTTTTTAATGGGTTTATCACATCTCTTAGGAATTTTCTTTCAAACATTTCTAAAGAGAAAAACTGATTTTAACTTAAATCACTCTCTGCTTCAGGTGTCTGCTTCTGTGAATAAAATGAGTATTTTTATTATCAAAACTGGGTAAGAATCATGAAGGAAATAACTGTTACCTATGAATGAGGGTGCTTTTGGTAGAAATTTATACTGATTATATAAAGAGAAGCATTGTGATATTTTAAAAATCCATCTTAAAGATTAATCTGTATGTTTTTCTGTTGCTTTAGAATTTTGACATCATCCTAAAAATAATTGTACTAATAGATTGCTATTTTATTTTGCTCTTACAACATCTTTCTATGTGATATTTGCCAGACATTAATATCTAGTTATCAATAAATTAGGCTGTTTTGTGAGTTTGTCCTTGAAAATCCTTGACTTTTCTGATTGCTGATTCACCACTTTATTATACCTCAACATTGTCTAAAGTAGTGTCACTGTTTTAGTGAGTATCCCAGTAATAAACTTAGTAAGCCCCAAATTGTCACTGTTATATAATGTAGTGGGGGTGGGGTGGAAATTAATGCTTGGAAAGCACAGGCTCCTGATTGTTTACCTTTAAGACAAAAATAGAATAAATGTAATGCCTGCAATTTGTTTCATGTTCGAGTCTGCATTTAGTCTTAGCAGGCTTCACTGGTAGGGAAAGTCTAAGTTCTGTTCTTGAGTCTGGACATGAGTCTTGGAGCCATAATTTCTCAGTACCTGAGGGGTCGATAAGACACCTCTATGAGCAAATTTCTACAAAATGGGTGAGGCTGAATGAAGGTTCTGTGTGGCCCTCCAAACACAGGGATTTGACTGGAGAAACAGGAAGTGAGTGTGTCCTGTACTGCCAGTACCACCCATCAGATATCTTTGAAAAATCGGTGTTTCTCCCCGAACAGAACATTTTAATAAAAACATTGATATGGAACTTAACAAGGGTTTTTAACAGAGACTCAACGTCTTTTTTGTCTTCATTTAAATCTGCTTTATTTTTCTTTCCATGATGCTATATAAAAATCTCATCAATATACAAAATCATTCTGAGCTCAGATTTTCTCATTTTCTCTGGATGAGAGCTTTGATTAGCTTTTTACAACTTCTTCATTAGTAATTGGCTTGTGTTTTTGTTTTTGGCTGTTGTCTCTAATAAGTTTATGTTCTATCAAAGACTTCTTTGAGGATGGTCTGAAATATGCTATTGTTATGTTACAGAATATTACAATTTAATATTCTTTATAAAATGCAACCAACAAGTGCTATTAGGATTAAATGTTCATTTCTTCCTTTTGATGCTGATGGCTGGGGTGGGTTGTTCAGTCTTATCATCATGCCTGACCTAGTTGTGCAGCCGTTCCTGTTTAATTAATAGACATTTACATAAGCTCTTTTTCCCCCCAGCAAGCTTTATAATGGTCGTGTTGGTTATCTCCTTTCACCCTGTGAAGTATCAGCAGTGCTATTTCCATTTTGCATTTCAAAATACAGAGAGATTAAATTATGTACAACAAATTGATAACTGAATAAGTTTGAGAACTCAGAGTTCTGGCATATTAATGGTGTTGCTTAAAGCAACACCTCATATAGACTCTATAAATATATTAAAACTCTGCTCTGTAAGCCAGGGGTTGCAGTTGGGGCTGTTAGCAGCCTAAGGAGGGAGCCCTTTGTAGATTTACGCAGGGGTGGGAGAATTCGTTTCTGGACTTTCTCTGGAGCCATGAAAGGAAAGTTTTTGTTAGTAGAGGAGGTGGTGTCTGTGGACTATTGCTCTGATGTCTGTAATTTTTAATAAAAATTCTAGGAAGCCTGGTGGCTTCTGTGTAACATACAAATTTGATGAACTGTTCTGTTTTTTAAAAATCCACCTTCCCAGACACCATTAGAATTTTATTCCCAATTAACTGGTCACCAAGTATCAACAGGTGCAGCCAGAGCAAAGCATAGCTTGGGGGACCTTTCTCGAGTACTTGGGCAAGACTTTCATTTCTTTCCACATATTAAAAAAAATTTTTTTCTCACTGTCTTTCTAACTATATCCTCATGCACTTAATAGGGCTAGAAGTGTGTACTAGAATGTATCTTCTTACCCTCCTTTTCCCTGTCTCTTCAAAGTGTAAGAGAGGATTGAACTTTAAACCTTACTTCTCTGTCTTGTGTCAGTGTTGATTACTTCCAGTAAATACTTCGGAATTTACAGGGATTGCCTCGATCATTTAACAGCACATCAAACAAAAGAAAATAAACAAATGAAAAACCCAAGCAAACAACAACAAAAAATAATAGGCATTTTTTTCTTTAATTCACCAAACTTGTTAGTCTTTTCCAAAAGATGGTAGGTAGTCTGTGTGCCTCTCACTTCATTCCCTTCCCGTTAAACTGAGAGTAGCCTCTTTCTGTCTTCAGTTCTGTGGCCACACTCTTCCTCTGCTCCAAGTCCTCTTGGATGCTTCAAGCCCATCCTCTAGGGTCTGTACCAGGTTAAATACCACATCTTCAGGAAATCTCTGCCACTCATTTCTCCTTCATCAGAAGTGAGCTTTTCTTTCTCTGAGTTCCCATATTCCTGGGTTTGTGCATTTTAAATGTTGTATTACAGTGATTTCTGAATTAGATGTCCTAACGCAGCATGGGGAGAAATGAGAAGAGATGGCCTGTTTCATTTGACTCAAGGTCCCTCTCGGCCATGAAAATGTATACATCTTGTGTTCATCTTGGTGTTTCCCATTGCAGAGCATTCAATATAGCATAGATGTTGCACAACTACAATAAGCAGTAGATCTGCAGGGTGAAAATAGTATTAATAGTGATACTATCTCGTGATACCTGGATTCCATGAGTTTCATTCCATGTGTGGCGTCTCAGGACTGGCCACCTCTGTGTAATGGTTTTCCTCTAGTTTACTGATGAGCTCCTCTCTGGCCTCAGACAATTACCTGCCTTCCTCAGGACACCCTCCATCCTACAGTGGGGAGCATTTCATTCTATGCGAGGGCCACTGTGACCGCCTACACACTTTTCTGTGGAGTATGAAGCCTCCCCAGGCCTCCTTTCAAAATGATGGGGGGAAAATAAATCTCTCCACAAAAGGTGTCCCTCTTACCAGTTTTTCTTTTTCTGGGTCACAAGTCCTGTTATCCATCTCCCATCATTAGACCAGATGACACTGCTGTTCTGTCTGGGGATCTGCTTTTCCATTCTCTTTATAAATCCTAAAGGAAGGGAAGTGAGTAGTGACAAACTTGTTTTATCTTTGGAACTCTGCCCTAAATCTGGGACTTTCAGTCCTGGATGTGGAACAGAACCTCAAGGATTGAGATAATAGAATGTTGTTTTATATCTTTCTAGTACCTCAAACTAAATATAAACTCTGTGAGAGCAGATTTTGCTTCTGTCTCAAGTATGCTTATGTCTCCAGTGCCTGGAATAGTGCCTGGTGCATAGAACAGCTCCATAAATATTTGTTGAATAAATGAGTGAGTGGATGGATAGATAGATAGATGAGTGTTCAGCATGGCTTCTTACCCACAATAGGTATTCAGTGATGTTTATTGAATGCATGGGCAAAAATTGCATGAAGTAATAAAGGAGTGAGTTAAGTAGAATGGCGTGATCTTACTATATGTTCTAATAGTATTTGATCTGCTTCTGAGTGTGAGTAAGAAACTTAGGGGAATAAGGTGGTATGGCAGAGGGTAGGCTAATTCACAGAACTAAAATATGCATCTTGCATCAGTTTCTAAAAAATGACAATAAAGGATATTATTTTTATGTAGAAACTGGTAGATTTTAGAATATATTGCATAGTTGACATAAGTTTTTTATGTAGAAAGTTACTCCTAACCATGCCTTCAAACTCTTTCCTCTGTTCTTATATACATTTTGGAGGAAATATTTCAGAAAACAGATATTGAAATTCTTATCTGAGGACTCTTGTAAGTGTACAGGAAGTGCTTTCCCTAGTTTTATGCCAAGGAGAGAAAATGTCTCGGTCTCTTTCATGTTCCCACAGAAGCATAGGGGTTATTGGTGGCTCCTGCACAAATATTCTCCTTTATAGAACAGGCTGCATATCCAGCATCAGTTTACTTTGGCACAGGAGGATGTCTTTGTTTATGCAGTAATTCTACAAATAATTGTTGAGTGACCACCAGACAAAAGGCACTATCCTGGATGTTGAGGTTAAAATAGTAATAGGAATATTTCTTCTGCCCTCAAGAAATTAGAGCAGGATTCCTGTAAACAGTCAATTTCCTGTATAAGACAGTGTGGAATTAAGCAGTAGACTTAGGCATGGGTGCAGTGAGAACACAGAGGGAGGGTACCTGGTTCAGGGTTGGGGAAAAGAAAGCTGAGATCTATAGGGAAGCAAAGGACATTAGTAGGTAAGAGAGAAAGGAGGGCTGTTCCAGGCAGAGACACGTGTATGGCCAAAGCCGTGGAGGTAAGAAAAAGAATTGTCTTCGGCAAACAGCAAGTAGCTTCATGATAAACTATACATAGATATAGGTAAGTATCTGGTTTTCTAATTCTAAAGAGGATTTTTTAAGCATAAAAATGATGAAAGAAATAACAGGAGAAAAATTATTCATTTAATTATTTAATATTGCATTTCATAGCTAAATTATCATGAACAAAATTTAACAACAAATAGCAATCTGGAAATAAAAAATAGTTTGAATATTTCAGCAAGTTCTAGAAGATCAGGGGTAATCTGTTTATGTACCACTGTGTTACTAACATTTGACCCAGGGCTCACTATGATGGTTGAATGAATGGAAAGAATCAATATCTTCAAAAGATACTAAAGAAGTAATATAAGTGAATAAGAAAAACCAAACAAATTATATGAAGGGCAATAATAAAAATAAATGATTAAAGTAGTAAAACAGTTTCTTTGAAGAAGAAACTTAGAGAAGATCAGCAAAAGACACATATGACAGGGATTTGATTTGAAATTTTAAAAATAGATATTTGAAGAGGTGGACTGTAGAGGATTGAATCTAGGGGCAATCCTTGACACTAGCTCTGATCAGTGGGATGAGAGGGTGCTATGTATGGCCATGCAGTTTGGATGCTCACTTGGATGACTGTAAGGCATAATCTCTTGAAACTATTTCTCCACAGTGGCAATACTAAGGCCTATCTCAAAAAAGATCCCCTGGAGAAGGAAATGGTAGCTTACTCCAGAATTCTTGCCTGGAGAATCCCATGGATGGAGGAGCCTGGTAGGCTGCAGCCCACGGGGTCGCAAAAAGTCAGACAAGACTGAGCGGATTCACTTTCATTTTTCACTTTCAAAGAGTTACTGGGAAAGGTGACCCTGCAAAGCTCTTAGCATAGTACCTGATAATGTAGACACTCAATGGCCGTTTTCCCAGCCTCCAGGGGAAGGAACGGGAAAATACCCTTCTTTATTTCTAAGGAACATACCCAGAGTGGAAGGCAAATTTGATCAGTCTGGAATATGAAAGTAGATGAAAGCTTAGCACGTGAAATTATATTTGTGATGTCCTAGAGAGCCAAGAAAATTAAGAAATGAACCAAGTAACTCATCATATTTATTAGATGTAAGAATGAAGGTGCAGAATTATCATTTCCTTGTGATAGTTGTATCTAATAGTTCTGAAACCAATTCACAGTATTCATGTCAGACTTATTTTATGAGACATTTAACCATTGCTAAATTAAATTTCCTAAGAGAATGTGCCACTATAACTTCTCTGGAGTTACAGAGATAGAAATCTGACCCATCATTTCTATTTTCACGGAAAACCATTTAGCAGAACTTTGTTCCAGTAGAAGTGTTTATTGAGTTGTAAGCCTAACACAGTTCATTGGCTGCATGCATTTCCACACTGACATTTTTCTCAGTGCAGATTTGCATCAGTTCATTAGTACTGACAGCAGATGGTAGCACTTTCACACAAATTTACCTTCTGAATTGATCTAAGAAATGTCACTAAAAAGATCCTGACAGTTTTTGATGTTCTTCCATTTCTGAAAATGGTATGTTAAACAAATAAGGTGTAGGATTTTAGATTTTCTTGAACTCCAACACATAATTCCTAAACCAACTAAAGATGCTTTCATCTCTGATTCTGGCTGTCTGAAGGAGAAAGTAGAAAATGCAGATAATCTTTCCTGATAGCATAAGCCTTAAAAAATCACTATTGCAGAAAAATGGCTTTTGAAGAATATTATCCAGATTGTCTACACTGATCAAATGCCTCAAATTATTTGTAAATTCTCTACCTTACTTTGTCTGAATACAGAATTGCTTGGCTAGCAGGATCAGCTCATTGACTATTACTGAAAAATAGTATTAGCTTAAGTCACAAGGCTAACTTTAAATTCTTTCACTTCTGCTGCAGTAAGATATCCAGAAGATTAATTACATTTAAAAATTACAGATCTTTTGCCTTTTAGTTAGGGTTAAATCACTATGTAAATTATCAGACAAGAAAACTTAATGTTTGCTAAATGAATGAATGAAGGAATATATAAATTCTAATCACATCGAGGAAACTGTTTTCTACATTATATACCTGTTATTATATTCTTAATAACTCAAAGCCCTGTATTCAGTAGTATTATGTATAGAAACAAGGATTTATTTTGAGTATTTTAAAAATTAATTTTCCATCTGCATTTGAAAAGTAATTAGTGATTTGGTTAATTTACCAAAAGAGAAGCTGATTTGAGAAAGCATTGGGTGTTTACTATAAATAGTTTAACCACATAATTAAATATGGTACTTTTAACATGTTGCTAGAAGAGTGGTCATGATTAAGAATATACTTCAATGATTTATTTATTAACAAAAAGTAACTTTTGGGTTCTGTTGTTGTTGTTCAGTCGCTAACTCATGTCTGACTCTTTGACCCCATGAACTGCAGCACGCCAGGTTTCCCTGTCCTTCACTGTCTTCCTGAGTTTGCTCAAACTCATGTCCATTGAGTCAGTGATGCCATCCAACTATCTCATCCTCTGTCACCACCTTCTCCTCTTGTTCTCAATCTTTTCCAGCATCAGGGTCTTTTCCAGTGACTTGCCTCTTCAAATCAGGTGGCCAAAGTATTGGAGCTGCAGCTTCAGCACCAGTCCTTCCAATGAATATTCACAGTTGATTTCCTTTTTGATTGACTCGTTTGATCTCCTTGCAGTCCAAGGGACTCTCAAGAGTGGTGCTTTATGACTGCACCATAGTTCAAAAGCATCAATTCTTTGGTGCTTAGCCTTCTTTTGGGTTCTAAATGTTCTCAAAAACAATACTCTTGCTAACATTCTAACACTAGAAATATAAGTTACTACTGATTTAATTTGGCTAAAATAATAGTGACTTCATTCAATATAGTTCTATTCCCTCCCTTCCTTTGTGCTATTATTGTCATATATACTACATCTATGTATGTTATAAGCCCAACACTACAGTATTATAATTTTTGCTTATATAATCCTGTCTATTAAAGTAACTAAGAGAAGAAAAAATACTTAGCTCACCTTTTATGTTTACCATTTATGATGCTTTTTATTTTTTCCTGTGGATTTCAGTTACCCTCTGGTATTATTGCCTGAAGAACTTCCTTTAGCATAAGGCAAGCCAGTTAGCAAGGGATTCTCTCAGTCTGTTCCTTTGGAATGTATTTATATTACCTTCATTTTTTTAAAGGACAGTTTTGCTGGATACGGATATGATTGACAGGCCTAGGGTTTTCCCCCTAAGACATTGAATATGTCTTTCTGCTGCTGTCTGGACTGATGAGAAAGTGAAAGAAAGTGAAGTCACTTAGTCGTGTCCGACTCTTTGCGACCCTGTGGACTGTAGCCTACCCGGCTCCTCCATCCATGGGATTCTCCAGGCAAGAATACTGGAGTGGGTTGCCATTTCCTTCTCCAGGGGATCTTCCTGACCCAGGAATCGAACCTGGGTCTCCCACATTGCAGGCAGATGCTTTAACCTCTGAGCCACCAGGGAAGCTGGACTGATGAGAAACCAGCCATTATTGTGCTTTTATTTCTCTTTAAATGATGAATTATTACTTTCTTGCTACTTTTAAGATTTCCTCTTATCTTTGGCTTTCAGCCATTTAACTGTAATATGTCTAGGTGTGGATTTCTGTGTTTCTACTTAGGGTTTGTTGGTCTGCTTGTATCTGTAGATTAAATGTTTTTCATCAAAGTTAAGAACTTTTCAGCTAGTGTTTCTTCA